TAAGGAGAGAAATATGACAAACAAAATTGCCAAGTCTGCTGTAGTACTAATCAAGCATATTGTTCCCTTGATTCTAGAAAATTGCAATGTGCTTTTAAAAAGGTTGAAAAGATGTTCATGGTGTATTCTTGGTTTACTTTGTCTATAAATGTGTGTTCCTGTGTCCTGTAGTGTTGGTGGTTCCAGGGCCAGCGAGGAGATGGTGAAGACCATGGCCGCTTGTGGTGTTCTGGTGTTCCCCTGGCAGAGAGCTCCTTGTCAATCCAAATGACAGATGGTTCCCTCTGCTGGCTGAACTGAAATTCAGTTCTCCACGCTGAGACAGTCTGGGAGGAATCACGAATGGTCTCACTGATTATTAAAACATAGTTTTGAGTTTCATCCTTAAAAAACTAACCTTGACCAGCCTGACCAACATGGTGAAACCCCGTCTCTACTAAAAATACAAAATTAGCCGGGCGTGGTGGTGCGCACCTATAAACCCAGCTACTTGGGAGGCTGAGGCAGGAGAATCACTTGAAACTGGGAGGCAGAGATTGCAGTGAGCCGAGACTGTGCCATTGCACTGCAGCTTGGGCAACAAGAGCGAAACTCCATCTCAAAAAAAAATAAAAATAAAAAACAAACAAACAAACAAACAAAAACTAACCTCATCTATCCCCTTGTATGATTAGCTTAAGTGCAGTCCAGAACTGGTAACTTCCTTCCTTCCTTCCTCCCTCCCTCCCTTCCTTCCTTCCTTCCTTCTTTCTTCCTTCCTTCCATCTTTCTTCCTTCCTTCCATCTTTCCTTCCTTCCTTTCTTCCATCCCCTCTTCCCTCCCTCCCTCCCTCCCTCCCTCGTTCCCTCCCTGTCTTCCTTCCCTTACTCGCAGAAAGCAAAAAATACAGATGAGCACAAAAAGTAGTATAATGATCATCTGTATGCTCGCTATCCCAAAACAAGTATCTGTTTTTGTTTGGTCATATTTGTTTCCAGTGTTGTTTTTTCCTTTTTAAAGAAGTTATTGATAAAACCAAATCATTTTCACCAATAATGTCCTGTCCTTCCCTCCACCCTCCCCTTTCTTTGCTGCCTCTACCCCCTACCCAAAATTCCCTACTATAATGGGATGTATTTGACTAGTCCATTGTTTATACTTTTACATACATATATGTGTATCCACAGCAGCAGTCCCCAATTTTTTGGGGACTGGTTTTGTGGAAACCAGTCAAAGGGACTGTTTTTGTGGAAGACAATTTTTCCATGGATGGGGAGTGGGGGATATGGTTTTGGGATGAAACGGTTCCACCTCAGATCATCAAGCAGGCAGCCTGGATCCCTCGCATGCACAGTTCACAATAAGGTTCCTGCTCTTATGAGAACCTAATGTTCCCGCCGACCTGACAGGAGGCGGCACTCAGGCGGTAGTGCTCACTTGCCCGCCACTCACCTCCTGCTATGTGGCCCAGTTCCTAACAGGCCACAGACTGGTACTGGTCTGCCGCCTGGGGGTTGGGGACCCTGATCTACAATGAATACATACGATTGTGTTTGTATGTTTAACATTTTCCTTTGTGTTGCTTTTCTGCCCATGACATTTATGAAACATCCACACTGATGCCTGTAAAACCAATCTATTCTTTTTAACAGCCATATGTCCTTTAATCGTATAAATATAGCATATTTTATTTACCCCTTTGCTTTTAAGGGTGACTTTTAGGTCATTTCCAAGTTTTGTTATACTGAAAAAGGTGCTGCAATAATTATTTTAGTACATATCTCCTTATATGTATGTTTCTCAGCCCTGGTATACCCCCCAAGAAGAGTCACTATGCCATGGCATATGTGTAATGTCACTTTTGATAATACAGTAAAATTGCTCAATAGAATAATATACCAATTCATGATTCTGCTGGAAGTAAACTAGAATAATATACTATTTTTTTCTCATATCTTGGACAACACTGAATTGTGTCAGTCTTTTTCATATTAACTAGTCTGACAGAAATAAAGTAGAATCCCATTAATTTCATTTGCATTTTCCTCATGTTTAGTGAGAGTATTAGTCGGTTTTCATGCTGCTGATAAAGACATACTGGAGACTGGGCAATTTACAACAGAAAGAAGTTTAATATACTCACAGTTCCATATAGCTGAGGAGGCCTCACAATCATGGCGGAAGGCAAGGAGGAGCAAGTAGCATCTTACATGGATGGCAGCAGGCAGTCAGAGAGCTTGTGCAGAGAGACTTCCGTTTTTAAAACCATCAGATCTCTTGAGACTTATTCACTCTCATGAGAACAGCATGGAAGAGACCCACCCCCATGATTCAATTATGTCCCACCAGGTTCCTTCCATGACACATGGGAATTGTGGGAATTGCAATACAAGGTGAGATTTGGGTGGGGACACAGCCAAACCATATCAGTGAGGTTGAGCTGCTTTTCTTATGTCCATGGTCCATTGTTTCTTCTTTTAATCACTATTTAAAAAAATTTATTTATCTTTTTCTTTTTGTTGATTTTAGGAGTTCCTTATGTATTCTGGTTACTTATTCCCTAGACAGGGAATATGTTGCTAATATCTTTGGCTAGTCTGGCATTTGAGAAGATAATTTATTCAGATGATCAGTACAGTTAAATTGTTATGGTTTCTAAATTAATTCTATGTACTATCAAGAAGTCAGGCATATCTCTATCTGCAATCTATTGCAAATCCTTTTGGATCTGCTTTCAAAATATTTTGCAAAGGACTGACCAGTTTTCACTATCCTGTGTGCTACCTGGCTAGCACCTTTATTCACCAGGATAACTGCAGGAGCCTCGTAAGTGGCCTTGTTCTTCAGTTTATTCTTACCAAACAGCCAGAGAGAGCTTATTAAAATGTAAGTCAGATCTTGGTTCACTTCTGCTCAGAACTAGGCAATGGCTTCCCACCTTGCTCCAAGTAAAAGCCTAAGTTCTTAGAGTGGCCCATAAGGTCCAGCACCCTCCAGCTCCTTGTCATCACTCTGACCTGGTTTCCTGCCACTCTCCCCTGGCTATTCCAGCCACACTGGCCTCCCTGCTGTTCTAACATACAAACATGCACCTGCCTGGGATGTTTGTACTTTCTGTTCCCTCTGCCTAGAATTTCTTCATCCAGAGTCATCATCATGGCTGTCTCCTGCACCTCAAATCTTCCCTGAGACATTACCTTTTTAGTGAGATCTTTCCTGATCTCTTTGCTCAAAAATGAAACAATCTCCCCAAACACACTGTATTGATTTCCTAGGGTGGCAGTAATTAAGTACCATATACTGAGTGGCTTAAAACAACAGAAATTTATTGTCCCACAGTTCTGGAGGCTACAAGTCTGAAATCAAAGTGTCACCAGGGCCATGCTCCCTCTGAAATCTGCAGGGGAATCTTTCTTTGCCTCTCCCTAACTTCTGGTGATTTGCCGGCAATCCTTGGCTTGCAGCTACATAACCCCAAAGCTACATAACTCCAGTCTCGGCCTTTGTCCTCACGTGGTGTTCCTTCTCCCCTGTGTCTCCGTGTCTTCATGTGGTCATCCTCTTATATCCAATCATATTGGATTAGAGGCCCGCCCACCAAACTCCAGTATGACTTCATCTTAACTTAAATAATTATATCTGTATCAATTCTATTACCAAATAAGGGCGCATTGTAAGTGCTGAGGGTTAGGACTTCAACATATCTTTTTTCCTGATGGGGAGGGGTTAGGGGAACAGAACTCAACCTATAACACTCACCACCTCCCTTCCTGCTATGTGTTTCTCCAGAGTCCTTAGCACTATTTAAGCAATCATGTATTTTCATACGTATTTTTTGAGTTTGTCTCCTCTACCAGAAGGTAGGCAGCATCATGGTTCCGATCTGGGACCATTTTGTTCACTACTATAGAGAATACTGCCTGACACCTTAGTAAAATCTCAAGAAATATTTGTTAAATGAATGATCATCTGCTTTCAATTACTACATTGAGCTGACCATGTAACATGATGTGGACCAAAATTATTAGGTTAAAAAAGGAAACAATTACCTCTAAATGAGATCCTAAGGAATGAATTGGTGCTTATGATATTTTTATTTCAAAGAAGTGTACACGAAGGAAACCCAGAGGTAGAGGTCAGAGCAGTGAGGAACCAGCCAGTCGGGGGATTAGTGCATTGTCGTTGAGTGATTTATGGGCAGCAAGGTCTCAATAGCCTCCCTGTCACTTGTCCACTTTGGGGTTATCCCTGCAAGTAAGGTGTGTCATGGGGCTTTCACTTCACCCTAGCATCTAACATGTGCCAGAAACTGTACTTGGTGCTTTATTCTCATTTAGAAAAGAAAAAATCCTCTTCATAAATGTACCCTTCAAATATTATTATACCCGTTTGATAGAGATGGAAAATGAGTCTCAGCGAAGTTGAGCAGCGACACAGGACACAGACATAGTAAACACATTACTAGGATTCAAACTCAGGCCAGTGGGACCAAAAAAACCCATGTTCCTTTGCTTGTCAGATTCCTTCAGATTCTGTGGACACCAGAGTTTTAAGGGAAAGTGAGTAAACTGGCCCACACATGACGCTAAATACAAATGACTTGGCATAGACCATCAGAAAACCAGAGAAAGACTCTTCCCACCAGACGCATGGGTCAGCCTCATCTTTTTGCAAAATGGAAAGCCCCAGTGCCAGGACTTTCCAGTTCTTGAGGAGGGTCAAATGATGCGGTTGAAACAACCCTGAACTAGGAATCAGAAATGAATAATTAAGGCACGGTTCTGCCCCTTTTCTTGTGTGATCATATATGAACCACTTATACCCTTTTGAGCCACAGTCTCCCATGTGCAGACTAATGACAATGCATACAAAAATCACATATGTACCTCCATTCTGCCCTTTTAACAATACCTGTGTGGCAATGCTCAGTATTCACGGTGAACATTCCTAATGAAATTGTACCTAGAGCCATCTGGATCACTGCTGAAATAATCATCTGAATTTCTTGTCCTTGGTGTAGGTGTCCTGGGAATACCTGCCTGCTTAGACCTTCTGTAAAAGCTCTGTGCATCCTGCCACTGAGGACTCCGAAGAGGCAGCAGTCTTCTGAAAGGTAGGGTTTACTTAATTTTGATTTTTTTTCAAAGAGTTTGAAATAATTGACCTGCTGTGAGTACCCTTATAATAGTAGTAATGTTCCTATGTACATGTAAAATAGAACTTTTAAAATGGTAAAATTTCAGGGCTAGATTCCCTTGGAGAATTTACCCTCTTTCGACTTCTATTTGTAGCTGCCATTTTAAAAATTGGGGTATAAATATTATGTCAGTTAAATAAAAGAATGATGACTTCACTTTCTGAAGAAAGCATTCCCCTTCTTTTCCATGAAATGTAACTTACCTGTTACCTGATTGACATGCCATTATATTATCCTTTCCCCAGCAGTTACACATATTTAATAATTTTTATGTGTAAAAAGTAAGGTTAAACAGTTACAAAGTCGATTTGTTATGTTTTGCATGGCTTTAAGAATGCCAGTGGAATGGAAATGAAATTAGGAGCAGCAGGAGGCGGCTCTGTTATGAAACAGAATTCCTTCAACGGCATGGTACCGTTCGTGGTCAGAGGAAGTCCTAGTGGCATATACTGGGATGGACAGTGAAGGGTAGGTCTTACAAAGAGGCTTTAAGTTAGAGTAAAATAATCACTTGTCTGTATGCATCTTTGAATGATTTCACTGGATATGTTGAATATGTATTTTTAAAAATAGCAGCAAAGGGCCTGTAATCCCAGCAATTTGGGAGGCCGAGATGGTGGATCACTTGAGGTCAGGAGTTTGAGACCAGTCTGGCCAACATGGTGAAACCCCGTCTCTACCGAAAATGCAAAAATTAGCCAGATGCAGTGGTGGGCGCCTGTAATCCCAACCACTCAGGAGGCTGAGGCAGGAGAATCGCTTGAACCCGGGAAGTGGAGTTTGCAGTGAGCCAAGATCGTGCCATTGCAGTCCAGCCTAGGTGACAGAGTGAGACCCTGCCACAAAAAAACCCAAAATAATAATAATAACAATAAAGTAGGAGCAATGCACTAATCTGGTAATCTCTAGCATGTCGTCAGGGGACCGTGCTCATGTAACCCCTCCCTAGGACTCATATTTACTCCTTTCCTTTTCTGTCACTTCATCTCATCTTTACACTTTTAATAATATCTCTCATTCCCAGGTCTCAGACAATTTAACATGTATAATAATATGTATATTGAATAATCCTATGTGCCAGAACACAAAGATACTATGCTCCTTTTTCTGCTTCCAGTTGAGACCCAGTTTCCTGTATCCACTTTACAATGTCAGCCAGCTTATCCTTCGTGCCGCCTTCCCTTTCCCTTTCATTCCACAGTCACTTGAAACCCATGGTTTATGCAAAATTTGCAGAGTTAGGCAGGATTGCTCCTAGAGTTGTAGAACTGTGAGACATTGCTCCATCTTGTCGTGGGATGAGGCAGGCATCTTTACTTCCTAATGTGCCTGATTTTTCTCTGGCAGGTCACCTGCCTGTTTAGATAGTTTACCTGGAAAACAAAGAAAGTTTAAAGGCAGTAAATGAAATAAGGCAAAATGGAGCACTGGTGTTATGTGCCTTTTCATATGAGCCTTTGCATATAATTATGTGATCCTTTTTGTTATTGTTTGGGTTAGTGTTTTAAGCCCTGAAGGAAGGCTTTTTTTTTTTTTTTTTTTTTTTTTTTTTTTTTTTTTTTTTTTTTT